TTTTTTTTTTTTCCCCCCCAAGTTTGAGGCTTTCCTCAGAAGTCTGGTGACCTTTATCTTTCTAGTCATATTTTAGAGTGGGGCCCTAAAAGGCTAAGTGGAATCATCACTGGGGCCTACATGGGACCTGCTGTGTAGTTGGCTTCACTATAGAGCATTCTGACCCGGCAGTTTCACTGAAGGACTCCTGAGATCAGTATCTTTAGGTATTTTTTGGGGGGCTGCTCAGATTCCTCAGAAAAGACCCTTCCGTTCTCCTGCCTGGAAGGTTCAAGTCTAGTTTTCAATATTCTGGAAGCTGAGCAGAGAAATGAGCTGTTGCGTGGGATTGGGATAGGCACATTTGAGTAGGTGTCACAATTTAGGATGTAAATTTTCATTTAATTCCACCTCTTATTTTCAGCAGCAGTAAGCTTTTGCCGTACAATGAACCACCTCAAAATCCCAGTGGCATAAAATGACAAGCATTTCTTTCTTATTCCCATGTCTACTGGTTTGTTTGGGCAGCTCTGCTTCAGGTTACAGGTCAGCAGATCAGTTGGGGCAACTCTCTGCCATCTGCAGTTTGGCTAGGACTGCTCTGCTCTGTAGGTCTCATTCTGGGGTCCTCTCAGGCAAGGCATATCAGAGTATATTCTTTTCATGGTAATGGCAAAAGTACAAGGAATGAGCCCAACGATTTAAGCACTTTTCAAAGCTTTGTTTGTTTCATTCCCTAATATCCTATTGCTAAAGCAAACCCCAAACTCAAGAGTGGGAAAGTACATTCCACTATGAGGATGTGGATATATAATAAGAGAGTGAATAACTGGGACCAACATTTCAAAATATCACACTATCCTTCCTATTAACAGTGTGTAGTGTCCTCCAGTCCACAATCTCTCTGTTTCAACACATCCCAAAGAATAAACCCCCAGGCTTCTACTGAGTAGGGAAGGAGCAACAAATATTTTTATAGGTACCTGGTATGGTCAAATTTGAGTTTTTCTAAAATACCATCGTGAAACTAATTTGTTTCTGAGGTAGTCCTATTGTTGATTTAAGACTCAGCTTTCTGGGGTCTGCTGCCCTCTAGCTTTCCGAACTTTATGCTTTCTTCTTTTCTACTCTCTTCTTTATCCTTGTGGGTTTATGTCTTTTTAAAAACAAAACAAAACAAAAACCTATTTTCTGCCATTGCATAAAGTAGTGGAAGAAGCCATGTGTTCAACTTTCCATCATTAGCTGAAAGCTCTTATTTAGATATACATAAATAGCAGTTAATTTGTAGAGATAATTCAAGTAGGGGGATGGCCTAGTCAATAAGTTATTTACAGAAAACAGAGAAGTACAGAAAATAAAATATAGCCCGTAGTTCAAGAAAACAAGTGTACCTTCATTATGCACAAAATGTTTGAAAACTGAGTTTGTATTGCATATAAATGCTAAAAACATTTCTTCATCTTTTCTTGATCCAAGGGCTTTTCCTGTGTGATTGAGCATGAAACAGTGAGTAGCAGTACACAGAGAAGAGGGGAGAGAAGAGAAGTATGTCTTCTCTAAAGGAACATTTATTCATTGAAGAATTTATGGACAAAGAAGTAATTTCTACAGTGGAGAAATTTAAGGTTGAGATTATTTTCTTACCTAAATAATCTGGCCCTCTTAACAGTTCAGGTGATGAAAAGGTACTCAAACTTTCTTCATAACTGTTACATTCTGTATAAGAGTCTGTGATTGAATCGCTCTGAAGAGAACTGGAAATATCATCCTGCAAACTTAGTCCTGTAGAATTGACAGACAAAAAGAGTAAAATGTTTCAGTAGAAAACAGATTCAAACTCCTAAGAATTCAAATTTGTAGAACTGTACATGCAGTTATATACTAGAATTTAATATTGTTTCCACATACAAAAGAAAGAGCATATAAACCACCTTCATTTGAATTATAGAAAATAATTGTTTTTCATGTTGATAAAATACATCACAATCCTCCTTGCAAATATTTTTTTTCTTCAAATGTTGTCTTGATGCAGTTTTGAGGCCCTAGCTGGAGGCCAGTCAGTCCTCCTTGCTGAGCAGCTGATTAAACCCACTCTCCAACCACTCCTCTTACCATGCCCTCACACTTGTGAGCCACTAAGAATCCACCCTAACTGCCTCAGGGCCAGGTAGCCTATAACTAGGGACAAGCCCTAAACTGGTCCCCCACCAATCTGTGAAATTATTCAAAATACCCAATCCCTAGGAAGCCTTTGAAACCTAGCTAACTCCACCATGCTTGCCAAACATAAGATTCTTCTACATTCCAGCTTGTTATTAACCTGTACCTGGGCTCAACCCCTGGGAGGCACTGCCATGAGGCAAGCTATATTCTTCCCAGGGAAACTATGAATATAATGAAATCTTTAACACTTTCATGGTCTTTCTTTCTTGATCTGCCTTTGCTTTACCTCATCCAAGGTAATATAATTAAAACTCACCCCCATTGTTTTTTAAGTTTTAATTTAATAACTTACTCCTCCTCTACTTTGGTTCAGTTGTGATTCTTGACTCAGAAATGTAAGAAACACATTAATTGTAAGCTAACTAAAAGAGGGAAGGGTGATTCTAGATATTCCTTTTAAGGGTCAATGAGCTAATGATAGAGAAATAGATTAAAAGAACTAAACAGAGAGCCCAGAAATAGACCCACATATATGTGAGCAACTGATTTTAGATCAAGATGCAAAGACAATTCAGTGGAGAAAGGATAGTCTTTTTTTTTTTTTTAATTAGGATTTGGGTGAAGATTTACAGAGTAAATTCACTTTTCATACAGCAGTTCACATATACTGTCTCATG